AAAATCAACGGACGCCGCTTTGTTGTTACTCAATAAAGATTCTTAATCGCTGCTTATACAGGATCTAATTTATCGTAATCTTAAGTAACTAAAACGTATATTAATTAGACTTTATTTCGTATTCTTCATATCGTATAGCATGTCAACAAACTAATAGAAAACAAATCTTCTCTCTTTCTGTTGTCAGATCTGCTTATGCTAACTTCAGTATTAATACAAGTTCCAACATAAATCATCTCTCTACATAATAACAAATTTGGTGAGTTCACAACTATAATTAAATATTTTTGCAGTCATCACTTCGCATGAAGCTGAAAGTTAAGTTCTAAATCATTTAAGGAATCTTTTTCATAATAGTATGTTAATGTAATTCGCTCCAAAGAATAATAATTGTAAGACGTTTAATAAGATTAGACGCCATATTTAAATAACTTCATCTTAAAATGTAGCATAGATTCATATTCTAATAATAATGAAAACCTCCTAAACTCTTAATTTAGTTTAGAAATCAAAAACGTAATAACAGTACATAATTTTTAAAGTAGGGAAGCAAAAATATTTTTAGGAAAACAACTTCTAGACTTCTATCAATTCTATGTTGGTGACAACCAAACCAATATGAAAATCAGTGGGAAAACTGTTGTTGCCCACTTTACCAACAGAAGCATTAAATCAGGTCCCAAAGCCATGCACTATTGCAGCAGGGTTGGAGACTCTTGTGGCAGGAGCAGACTGGTTCTCATTGCACTTAGGGCAGGATGGATAGACTTAAAGGCCCGCAACGTGACGTTGGGATCGAGAGTGTCCGCTTTTAAGTGGGAAAACTGCATCCTACCATGTGATTTTCCAGTCTATAAAAATGTATTGACAACAATGGACACCATCATTAGATTTTTATTACCGATTCCAGCATATTTCAAATAGTTGAGCTTTTACTGTAGTTTTGATTTTGTTTAGAATGGATTGTTACAGGCACGGGATTCTTCCGCTAATCTCAAGACTGTTGATTTCTGCGAATCAGTATAGTTAAGATTCTAACAAAATTTTTTGGGAGTTCCGCTTATTTAAAATTTAAGGGAAAAAAAATTCCATAATAGCATCGTTTGGAATGAATGAAACTACTGAGTCAAACACAACAGTTTAAAATTGATAATCTATGGAAATGCCTAACATTTATTAAAAGATCGTTCGCTAGAAAAAAATAGTGTTTTTTCTCAAATTTTTTTTTAATGAGTAGCATTTGTTGCAAATTGCGATTTGCAGCAGACGAATTATTAAATCGGTGAGATATATTTACCTCATTTATTGTTATGTTACAATTAGATCGAACTAATTTTTACATGATATTACGACATGGGAATTTCGCATTTCAGTAATCACTTTGCAACGTGCTCTATACCATCGTAAATCCGTGTTTCTATTACCCATTGGCAAAATGTCTATTCAAGCATCGAAAGAATTTACACCGAATGTGTCTGAGTTGCATTCAATATGTCTGCAAAATTGTGCACCTGGCAGTTCAGGATTAACAGTTAAAGATGGCCAAGATGAAAACACAGTAAAGTTGCTTTTCCAAAAAAAAAAAATTAGACAACAGCCTTTGGGTAAACTGTGATCCAATGCGCCGACCATAATTTTCTTTTGCAGTTAATGCAATTCGCGATCGCAACGAACTATAGGGGGCGTTGTTGTATGAGACGCTTACCTGCGATTNATACCGCACACCCTCGGTCCCTACGCAGGCTGATCCAAGTGGTCACCCACCCGCACACTGACCGTAGCTAGTGATGCTTGACTTCGGTGATCTGCTGGAAACCGTGTCTTAACGATCAGTCCACTGCGGGACCTACAATAATCAAGAGTAATAGTAAACAATGCGCATGAGTTGCTATGGCGACCGCTGCTGTTTGATAATTTTTTTAGAATTCTTTTTGTTCACTCTTAATTTTGTTATGCATTAAGTGGGTGAGTTTATTTTTGAGATATGGGCCTAGAGAAATCCCATAAATTCTTGAATTGTGAATAAAAGATAATTTCATCATTTAAACAATATTTTTATTGTTTGAACCATGAAATTAAATTAATCAAATTCTAACTGGATCCTTTTTAATACTAATTCAGGTGAATATCACACATAAAAAGGGTCCCAACTGATTGACACGGCCCCAAAAGTTAGAGTTGAGGCAGGAAAAAAAAGATGCCAAGGCCTAAACTTACCGAGGCAGAAAGGCCGAAGATTAGTAAGTAGACGGGAATACCTCAAGCTTCACACACAAACGGAAAAACGGACGGATTCCGTTCGAAAACGCAAGCATGAAGCCCGTCTCTTACATAAGTACCAAAGTGGTTGAGAGAATTGAACCCTACCGAAGAGCGAGTTTTTGCTGTCCGAATCCCTTTCATGCAAATACGAGAACTGGGTGTTGATCACCAGGTTAGAGAAAAAAGGATCCATTGTCAACGTATCCAATAACTTGCATAGACTGTCTTCCACGTAATAAAATTGATTCATTTACTATTCTTCTAAAATTGGAAGAAAAAAACTTAGCTTTCGAATCATATTTCTTGCATGAACTTGTGAATCCGAAATTGGTATATGATGCAGCTTACAATCTCCATCAAACACCATTGTACCAATCCGAAAATGTTAATATTGATCTCGATTGGCTGTTCAATGTCTATTCAAGCATCAAAAGAATTTACACCGAATGTGTCGATCATAATTTTCTTTTGCAGTTAATGCAATTGTTTTTCTCATGGTATTTAAAAATTCGATGTTATTACTAAACACAAAATTTGAAACGTGCATTTGAGTAATCACTTTTCGATGGACACTATCTGCGTCAATACCATAGTAAATCCACGTGGTGTTTTATCGGCTGTTATTGTTAAAAATGTTCTCAAGTGTTTTTCAATTCCTATATCTTATAATACATTTTTACGACACGCAAAATTCAATTGGGTATTTGCACTCCAAGAGGACAAACTTACTCACACATTTTGCTAATCTTTATCAGCAAAATGGCATATCATAGTTGAGCTAACTTTCCCTACATAACTTGGAATATTAATTAACTTAACGTTAATTAAATCCAGATCTGTATAGCATGTCGAATCTGTTGAAATATATTTCTTTCTTGTCTATTTCTTTTACTTCACTTAGATTTATTATTTGTTTATGTATTTTATTGCAATCTTGATATATTTTTGTTTTGCCTACCTGGCAACTTCGATGCATAATTAGTTTCTTTATGTTTTACGTGGCTTCATGCCTGTCTTTGTGTTAAGTCTTTGTGTAAATATATTGTGAAAGAATTGAAATCTTTGAAAAAGTGTCTTTGTGAAAGAATATAGAATGTGTCACTTCTTAAGAGAATTGATACTTGACGGACTTGGCTTACTCGAAATTGAATGAAAAGAACAGCTGTTAACGTATACAAATGCCACGTTTCAACAACCCATCAGGATCGCGATACCCACACAACATCACTTGTGGGTATCCTATTCGAGCATTTATAACTACTTTTTTTACGCTGTTAATATCACTGTTATTTTTACTGATAAACACGTTGTTTTTTAAATCCCGATATTTTCACACAATTTTAAGAAGCGATAAATTTAAATAGCATATTTGAAAAATTCCTCTTGGACGCACTCGTTTTTCGCCAAATTCATGCGGTGTTTCGATCTTTTTATTTTGGCAGTTATTTCTGTTGATTTTTTCATGATTTTCTTAAAATTCCGATATTAGTAAGATACCGGAAATTTAAATCTCTCGCATCTGAGTATTCTAATTTGACGAGATAATTTTATCGTTTTTTAAATCAATGACCCGGCAATTATCGTTATTGATTTTCGCCTATTTTTTTAAAAATCTCGATATTTTTAGAAACATTTATCACAAAACGTGAATCTCGAAACATACATTTAATTAACCCCTTTTTGACGCGTCCGATTCGTGCAATTTCTAGATTTTAGAATTTTTTTATTTATATATAATGTATATAATTTTTTTTATCTATTTATTTATTTATTTTATAAGATGACGGCTTGCAAAGTGAGAAATATGTACAGTAGAGTCCCGATAATCCGAGCCCCGGTTATCCGAGTTTCCGCTTTAACCGAGCTATCAAATATTTTAAGGATTTTTTTGTTCTAGTTTTTTTTTTTTTTTAAAAATACCGCCGAAAAATAAATCTGAATTTTATTATCCAAACACTCGGGAAAACAAAATCTAACAACTTGATCCATTGAAATGATCGTTAATATCGTCAATAATGAAAATGAACCTAGCGAAGAAGATGAATACAGTGACGATGAAAATCAATATATAAAAATCTCTCACACAGATGAACTTAAAGCTGTCGAAAATGCTACTGAATACATAGAACAACAAAAGAGGCGACACCAACCTTCCTGTTATCCCAAAAAAATGGCAAAACATTGCTGCAGAAAAGCACCAAAGTTATGTAAAACAAAAAATGATTAAGGACTTTTTTTAAGTAAAAACTCTTTAATTCTAGCAGAGTATACTTTTTAAGTCCTTTCAAGTAAGCTTTTTAATAATAATGGAAATTATATGTGGTATACTCGTATAAATTTTATATTTCTTAAATATATTACATTTATACCAACTCTTTTTCTTTCTTTTTTAATACTCTTCGCTTTAACCGAGTTTTTCAGTTATCCGAGTTAGTCGTGGTCCACATTAACTCGGATAATCGGGACTCTATTGTATTTTATTTTTCAATGCATACTTTTATGTGTCGATGAGAAGAAAATAATTATTAAATATTTTTTCTTTTAAATAAAATAAAAAAATACATTTTATAAACGTTATTTTTTTTTGCATAAAAATGACTCTTCTATGTACAAAAAGTAAAAAAAAAAACTGCACACTGAGAAATTATTTTTTTCAGATTACTTTTTTCGTGCAGCAACCACACGTCTGATTGTAATGAATGGATCATTTTACGGTGCCAATACAAATGACTCACAAATGCAAGAATGAAATACGTATTTTATTTACAAGTTGCAACAAAATTTACAATCGAGGGTTTTAAACTGGACTGATGAGTTTAAAACTGCTCATGAAAGACATAATTCGATGACTGCATTCACATTATAATGATCATCCCGGTTCGGTCAGACCGAACCTGCTGCATTCCGTGCCAACAAATCAGATGAAAAATTGGATCACAACAATATTGGCGTTTCAAATTGGATTGGGAGGTATATTTTTTACTTGAGGTTTGAGAAATGAAATGTTCCGGCCAAGAGAAAAATTATCTGGAAAAGAAAACTAAAGCTTAATATGAATTTATAACCATCCGCTAAAGTTTCAAAAAGATGAACCCAATTAAGTTAATTTATATTTCACGAGAAATAAATTGACTATGTATATTGCCGTAGAATTAAAAAAAACAACGTAAGTGCTTTACGATTGATTCCGGTCCCGCAGTGGACTGATCGTTAAGACACGGTTCCCAGCAGATCACCGAAGTCAAGCATCACTGGCTGCTGTCAGTGTGCGGGTGGGTGACCTCTTGGATCAGTCTGCGTAGGGACCGAGGGTGTGCGGTATTGGTCCTCGTTAAACTGTGCTACCGTAAAGTGCTCGACTTCGTGCGCAGGTCGTCGGGCTACCGAAGCGGGGGTGCCATCCCCTCCGCAGAGGATCAAAATTGTGATGGCATGTCTTTGGTTCATTCTCCGGGATGTTTCCCAGACCGTCGCCAATAGCCCATTCTGCAGCTCTAGTGCGACATAAATTAACAACAACAACTACGATTGATTCCGAGAAAAGTGGTTTGACAACTTTTCTCTTTCTATTGCTAAACGCTAAAATAGAATTTCAAAAAACTGATTAAACAAAATTTATTTTCTATTAAAATTTTTTTCAATTACACGGCAGTATAGTGTACAAACTAAAGATGAAGGTTCTGAGTTTTTTAAACCATCGCTTTCATAGTGATAGTGTGGTTGTGTAAGCCAATTAATAAGGGAAATTCACAAAATTGCCAATTTAATAGTTCGAAGTACCGGTGGCGTAGTTTTAATGTATATTCGAGGAGGGTTATCTTCTAATACATGTATATTCTAAACGTTTAAGTTGTAAAAAATAAATAATGATGAAAGCTTCTTTATACCTACATCTTACTTACCGTAGAATAGTTGATTAGTCAAGTAATGTTTAATTTCAGAGGGGATTTTGTCTTCTAAAACTACGCCACTGCAAAGTTCTGATCTCAAATATAAATTACTGTAGGCGATATTTAAAGTAAGGATATCGGGCACAAAAACCTCGTTTTCGGAATAAGTGTACGCCCCCCCGACGGATTTGGATTCTCGACTATTAAAATATTTGGGTGGCCGCAATCAGGAATGTATAGAGCGTTCGCCTTCTAATGAGGTAAACCGGGTTCGAATCCCAGCGATGGCTGGCGAATACGAATTCCGCAATCGGCTAGTACCAACCACGGTTCTGGCGTAAAATATCCTCAGTGGTAGACGGATGATGGGTTAGAGTCCCCTTGCCATCAGGTTAACCGTGGGAGGTTTTCGTGATTTTCCTCTCCATGTAACGCAAATGTGGGGACCATCAAAAAATCCTCCGCGAAGGAAATTTTCTCCAAATAGTTGATCCATGAGTTCCCTTGTCTTCTGGATTGGGTTCAAAATGACAAGGCTACGGAGTTGAACATTAGTAGTCGTAAATCCAAATTTGGGTCACAGGCGATTATAAAATCAAATCAAATCTGGAGTGTATGGTTCCAGTAGCTTAGTCGGGAGAGAGGTCAAAAGTTTTAACCCCTTAACATTAATTTTACTTTTTGCGTATTCCTCTGTATCTTTTGAAGTTTTTAAACGTATCGAAAAATTTTGCATTTTATTATGAAATTCTCTTAAAGATAATAAATTTCCCTGTGAAAAATTGCTATATTATATGTTATGCATTTTTTACTAACTATTGTACTATTCTTTGCACTATTTTAAATCGCGTAACTTAATGACCAAAAAGAAAATTTGTTCGAAATCGGTCGAATAGTTAGTTTCTCAGTAAAAAAATTTCAAAAATTCGTATTTTTGTGCAGTTGTCTATCATTCAGTATGATTGATTACTATGAAAAATGTTTATTCTTTGTGTATGCGCAAATAAAAAACTCTTACAATTTCTATAAAATAATTTAAAAAATCATGTTGTTGTGGAGATCGGTAAACGAGAAATTGATCACGTAGAGTCAAATCTTAAGACATTAAAGATCAATCGTTGCCTAACCATAGCTTTCGATCGAAACAATTGGAGAAAACTTATTGAAACGGCCTGTGGTGGGCTGTTGTGCTTTTGAAAAAAGAAGTGCGACATTAACAACCAAACTAAAAACGAACATTACCTGTTATTCAAAAGTATCCATTTCCGTGTTCTGGAATGTCTTCGTGAAAATGAAGATAATCCTGGGAATCTGATTGGAATCCAACACTTGCTGGTTGCTGATTGGCGGTACCTGGCTCGTTTGTCTTGATCTCTGCCCGAAATCCTTTATCGTCAGCCACGTAGTGGACTTCTCTGTGGATACCCTTTTCATCAACAAATCCGTAACTTCCTTTCACGTTTCCTTGGCCATCGCTAGCTTCTTCTCTGTGCTGCTCACCATGGTGATCCTTCACGTGGTAGCCGAAGTGGTAAGGTTGGGGCTCAAAATGCTAAAGAAGAAAAAGAGACCTTATTATGGATTGTTTAACACTAAGCGCAGATGGCGCTAGTGAGTAAAATCCGTCGTAAGACTTCCGGGTTATTACTTCCGACTAATTTTAGCGACTAACCTTGAGAAAAATCAACATCCAATATTATTATACTTGTCGTGTTTACATCATAACGCTTTCCGTCAATTTAAATTTCAACGAAACAAAGGAAATTGGAAAACTCCATGAGCATATAGTGCGGCTTTGAGAAGAACTCCTCCAGACTGAAAGTCTGGGGCTGTCTGCTGCTATGGTAACAAGCGAGAGCACATTTCTAATGGGAGTGAAATAGAGGAATTGTCGATTAGAGGAAGGTGTCGATTGGTTTGCTCACGACGACCTACGCTAAGATTAAGACAAAACTATTCACCACACACCCCTATTCGAAGTGACCTTTCCTTGTAACCATAGTACCCGCCACGACGCGAGACGGATGTCTGGAGGAGTTCTCCTGAAAGCCGCACTTTACAATGGTTTTATCCACACACAAACAAAAAACAAACAGCGATATTGTACCCTAATATAGCCAAATAAGGGATAACATTTGAAACATGGCAAACCTTACATTTTATTTATGTTCCGATATTACTGTTTGTAAATTTGTTTTACGCTCATGACCTGTTAGAATTTATAAATGACAGAAAACTCTTATGAATGGTGAAATTAAGCGTAAGTTTAAACACAAATCGCCATAATAAAACTTCCGAGAATATTAAACCTGTTCACACATCGCCTCATAAGCATACCATAAGCGGAGGGACACACCGGAAGTTTTCTAAATTTCTTCCGGTTTAAAGAACTTCGATATTGCTTACACTCAGTCAACCATCCATAGTTAGTATTTTTTTTTTTTAGACCAATTTTATTTCTCAATTTCGACGAAAATCTTTCTTTTTGTTATCCATAATTGAACTTAAGTTCACGAACTTTCCAAAACTCTTTAAAATTTTGATCTCAAATTTTTAGAAGCTAATTTTTTTTTCTATGTATGCTGACAGACAGAAGCCTGAAAACGAAACTAATTTTTTTTGTTTTGGTTAAAGTATTTTAACCCTCCCTTATTCATTTGAATAAATTATAAAGACAAAATTCATTTTTAGAAATCGTAAGACTATGTGACTTCGTAATTGTTGACATTCACCGGTGAAAGTCGACATTTTCTTGATTTCGGTCATTCGCAGTAACGACAGATATGAAATAACAGTCGACATAGTTTAAGCGCTTCAAAAACATGTCGATTGTTATTTCATATTTGTATATTATAGAAGCGACTCAATCGAGTAATATCTTTGCCGCTTCTGTTTCTTGGGATTATTTATTTAATGGAGTAGCTACTTGCTTAAAAGCCTTAATTAAATCTGGTAATATAACATATAATTGTAACATTGTTATAGGTACAATCATAACATTGAAGAAAGAAACCATGAAAATTAAACTTGTTCTATGTCTAAAAATCGAAATTTTATATAAATTAGCTTATTTAAATTGAAGATCTAAAAAAAAAAAAAATTTCTTCGCGCCAAAATATTCCTTTCAACATTAAAAATGAGAAAAGGAAACATGTTATGCATTTATAATAACTATAATGAATACAACCTCATTTTTTATTTATTTATTTAGTAATTGTTACAGAAGAAAGAATTAGAAAAGGAAAGTTTCAAAAACGTTCAATGAGAAGAATCAATCATGCGCACCCACAAGCTTCCTGTGTTAGTTTGTTTCGAACAATTGTTAAAGAGAAGAAAAAAAATAAGAAGGTACTCACGCTGTCACCATCTTCGCTGTCATAACCGTAACGGTCGTCCGCACAAACATATGACACTAGAAAGGCAATGATGAATATCTGGGAGAATAAAAAAAGAAAATGAAAGTTAATTTGTTTGTTTGAAGTAATTTGCACGACTTAAGTCAAAAACCGAAAAATTAAAGCAGTTTTAGCAATTTTTCTTAGAGGAAAAAAATACGGAAATATAAGAAAAATACTTACAAAAGCTTTTCAGTTTTAAAAGTCTATTCATCCCGAACTGATTAATTTAAAGGATTGAACGATTTTTGAGATCGATGACAAAAATTAACCAATTTTGATTTCCAGGTATTAAATAATAAAAGAAAGTAATTAAAATGTTATAATAATAAATAAAAAATTCAATAGAAAAGATATGTACAGTATATACAACATATAGATAAACATTCCAAAATATATAATATTTTTTTTTTTTTAAATTTAAAATTTTAGAATATTATCATTATCAGAAAGAAAATTCATTACTAATAATAATTTGGTTTTAAGTGTATTGTTAGTTATGAATTGTTTTTGCCAAGTTGGTAGATTAGTGATATTCGATGCACGAGTATGCCGTGAAGCTGTATAGATGCATTCCGTAAGATAATGTTCTGGAGTGCCCAGAAGGCCGCACGTGCAGTGATCATTATCTGAGATGTTTAGATATTTAAAATAACATGAAAAAGGACCATGCCAGAGAACCAGATTAAATTTCAGGACTATAGCACTAACGATTGGAGTTATTCACAAACAAGCTCTTCATTTTATTATACTATATTACAATTTATATAATAATTAGGGTTCACACCAGTTGGGAGACATGATGACGATTGTCGCCAAATGTTCCACAAATCTCGCTAAAATCATATGCAAGGGAGACAAATTTGTAGTCTTGATATTTTACAATTTACAAAATAGTAACGAAAAATAGTTTTTCTGCATCGAATTCCATTCATTTAAAAAATATTTGTTGGACTAATTTTATTGCTCCATGCGTGGAATAGAATTCATAAGTGTGGTATTCGAAGAAATAACAGAAAGTGTTTGTTAAAAAAATTAAGTTTAAACTTTAAATTTATATGTTGCGCTGTGTTTTGAATTTATGCACTGGCAGTAAAATTGTTTATTAATAAAATAATATTTTTTTTTTTGCTCTATTGGAATTGACTTTATTTAAGATTTTATAATCTTTTATTAATTAATTTTTAATATAATATTTTGTTAGTTCTTACTTTTTCTGTTTCCTTCATTTATTTATTTATTTGATCTCAGCAATTTAATTTTTATGTTGAATCTATCTACTAATATTATTTAAGCTTTTTTACACTTGATTTTAATAACTACCAATTTTCGATCATTTTGGGCTCATGAACCGAATTAGTTTTAGAGTGTTATAGATGGCAATTAATAATTTTTGACGTCCACCATAACATGAATTATGTAATTGTAAAGTTCAATTTTCCTCAAGTCTGTCTACCATATTAATTTTTTTGGAGCACTAAATGAATACCTAGATGTGGATGACTAAATTTCCATTTCTGGTGCGACCACTAATTATAATATAACTTTTGAAGAAATAAAAAAAATTACACGTAAAATGATAAATTGTGCAAAATTATTGGTCAAACCATTCCTGATGGAAAAGACTAGATTTTATCAATACCTCACACGCGCACTTGCGCATACATAAACATTGTTTGCCTAAAACATGCTTTTGTTGCATATTCATGAGCTATGATTTATTACAAATGGAATGAGTGAAAAAAATAACACTCGGAATAACTTTTGATCTAATAATCTCATTCTCATGGACTCAATCTCAATGGTTGGAAGACTTAATATTAAATATACAAAATAAATAGCGCTGACGATATTTTTAAAATAAGAAATTGTTCGAAGGCTTAGTACAAACGATATTTTAAATTAAGAAATCGTGCACAAAAACTTATTGTATCGTTAAATAAACTATTTTCTTAAAACTAAAATCTGATCCGAAATTTTTTATTTAGCTTGAAATAAACCAAGCCAAAATGCTTTTAATGTTAACCCGCCAAGCACAACCTCGTGATTAGGCCCAAGCATGTGATTTCAATCACATGGAATACGTCATTAGGCCTAAGCATATGATTTCAAACACAGTGTTGGACCTAATGACGTATTCCTCTTCTTGATTTGCAAGTGCTCAATCGTAACAAGAATTTAAAAACGCTTGGCAGATTCAAAGCTACTGGAAGATAATTATTGAAATACTCGTTTCCAACTTAACGTTTAGGAAAATTAAAATAGAAACAGACGCATATACAACTATCAAATTTCCTTTTTTTTTCAAATTGTTAAATAAAAAATATTTTAATTGTTGAGATGTGTTTAATAATAATTAAAACCCCTGCAATTCGGTATCAGGTCAGTAATAACTACTACTTCAACTTCTAGATTCAAGATTTGTTTTTTCTATTTACACGTAAGCGTCTTTATATTTTGTATACTATGTGCTAAACAAACAGTGATTTATCTTTAGAATGTTAGTTTCATTATTTAATGCTTTTTTAACTCTAATTTTTCAACATTAAACTCTATTAATAATGTTCGATAGTCTCGTTAAATATAATTTTGTTCCTTAAAAATTTGGTTCATAAATTTTCATCCTACTTACTTAAACATTGTGACGCTCAGATGATTATGAATATGATTAATTGGTTTCCACACTGTGAAAAGAGTTCTGCTGGAAACATAATTTTAAAGCTAACTTCAAGGAAAGTTTTTGTCTTTAATAACCAAGTCTTCTTGTAAATCGGATAAAAAGTTAAATTTGCACCCAATTTAAATATTTCACGAGCTATTTCTGTGCATTTAATCATTGCTTTTTATCTTAAGTCTCCAACTATACGTGATTATTCAGGAGGAAAGTTACAGTTGGATTAGTTCGTAATCTCATTTTTCATACAATAATTGCCACATTAGAGGACTATTTATTCAGCGCGAAGAATATAATGCTTTCAACAATCATCATTATGTTGGCAAAAAGAATATATGTTTGCATTTTAACAACAAAAAACTACTATTCTTATCCAAAGGAAGAAGGGTTAATAGGTACTTATCCGTTTCGCGGCGATGCAAGAAATTCGCTATTATTCGCGCCTGTAATTCTTCATTATTTGGGGTAATCTATAATAAGTGCTGTGGTAACAGGAACCTAATCTGTGTTGTAGTTAACGGGAGCAATAGGGTACACCTGTCCTTGGGAAATTTATGATGAGTCATTAAGAATGAAATTCAGAGTAAAATGTTTTTCTTTTTTAAATATCCCCAGTTTCATTTGTTAATTATGGGTTCCATTTTTTTTCTTCAAATTTTTGACCAATTTTCCTAAAAATTGATCAGGATTTATTAAATTAATTTGAATGACTAATCTTCCTGGAGTAAACACCCTGAAACGCATTTAATGTTGCTAACGTGTAAAACAAAGGATTAAGTTTTAAAGACAAATACAAAAGTACTATTTAATTTAAGTAACAGTATTTCAGAATTATTGTGAATCGCAATGAAGTTTACTACGAGGCACCGCCCCTTGCTCACTAACACTCGCCAACCCAAGGAACTGCTTTCGAAGATTCCTCTCTGATGGACTCACTAATAAAGTACCTTTAAGGACCAGTGGTGCGAGATTTGCTAAATGGGTCGTAACCCCCCCCACCCCCAATTTTATTATAGTTCTTTTCCATAAATAACACCAAAACCTTGTTTTCCAGAAAGCAAAAATAAATAAATAAATAAAGACATAAATAAATAAAGTGTTTACAATTTCTTACTAAAAATACACATTTTTCTGTTAACATTTTTATCATGAAAAAAATGATCATTTTTTAAAAATAAAAGAAATGTTGCATGATCATTTTTTAAATAAATATTTTAGGATTAATTAATAGTAGTTTATGAAATACAAAACTATGAGCCATTTCTGTACTTTCTAGCTATGTATAGATTTAAAAATTATAATGAGAAACATGTCGAACTTTTTTTTGTAAGATTAACGTTAGTTTATCTTTTGGTAGACTAATGCAAAGGCAAAGGACTTAATTTATTTTAGACATTCTATGTGGGATTAGTGGTAGTTTAGGAAATAAGAGACTAAAAACATGTAAGATCTTTTTCTGTAGGATGTAGGTAAAGAAAATATTATATAGATTCCGTAGGATTAAAGATAGTATAAGAAATATAGATGTACTAGAAATATATTAGACATTTTTTTTGCAGGATTAATAGTAGTTCATGAAATATAGAACTATTAGTCAATTCTGTGCTTCTTAACTATGCATATATTTAAAAATTATAATAGGAAACATGTTGAATTTCTTATATATTAATTTGTTTTGGTAAGACTAATGTTAGTTTAGGAAATACAAAGGCAAGAAACGTATAAATCCTTTTTCTGGAGGATTAAAGATAGTTAAAGAACTACCGAAGACTAAAAACGTATAGGACATTTTTCTGCAGGATTAATAGTAATTTAGGAAATAAAGAGAATTAAAATATTTTAGACATTTCTATGCAGGATTAATGGTGGTTTAGGAAATCAGAGACTAAAATTTTGTAAGACTTTTTTCTGTAGAATGTAGGTAAAGATAATATTATATAGATTCAGTAGGATTAAAGGCAGGATTAATAGTAGTTTATGAAATCTAGAACTATTAGCCATTTCTGTGCTTTTTAACTATGCATATATTTAAAAATTATAATAGAAAACATGTTGAATTTTTTATTTATTAATTTGTTTTAATAAATAAAATGTTAGTTTAGGAATGTTAGTTTAGGAAATGTTAGTTTAGGAATGTTAGTTTAGGAAATGCAAAGGCAAGAAACACATGAAACCTTTTTCCGTAGGATTAAGGATATTTAAGGATCTACAGAGACTAAAAACATATAAGACAGTTTTCTACAGGATTAACAGTAGTTAAAGAAATAATGATATCTGAAATATTTTAGACATTTTTATGCAGGATTAGTTTTAGTTTAGGAAATCAGAGACTAAAAACTTGTAAGGCCTTTTCTGTAGAATATAGGTAAAGATAATATTGTATAGATTCTGTAGGATTAAAGATAGTATAAGAAATACAGAGACTAGAAGTATATTGGACAATTTTTTTTGTTGGCTTAATAGTAGTTTAGGAAATACAGAGAAAATTTATATGGGAGATTAAAAAAAAAAGTTCTCATAGTGTTCTCTAAATAACTTAAAAACATAGTTTGTAGAAACTTTTTTTTTTATAAAAAAGAGGTAAGAAGTTTTTTGATCAAGAAACACTGTTTTTTATTATTATTTATTTATTTGAATGGATGAAGACCATACCACAAAGAGAGTTTTCAATTGCCAGACCAGTTGACACACGAAAAAGAGTCAGGCCGAATTTGAGATGGATAGATGGCCTAGAAAAAGACCTTGTGGTCTTAAAAACTAAAAACTGGAAAACACTAGCTGGAAAAAGGCTAGGCTGGGAAAAACTTCTTGGGAAAAACTTCTTGGGTATTTTCTATTCAGCTCAGGCCTAGGCCTATCCTGAGCTGTCGAGTCATTGATGATGATTTAGTTATTTATTTATAAGGTCAACAGTTTAAGAAATAATGAGCGAGCCTTATTTTTAAAATGTCCAAGTATGCCAATCACGGCATTTCTGTTTGTAAGAAAACATATATTTCAAGAGAAAGTGGTGTGGAAAAAAAATCCTCGCAGAAGATGGGATATGCTCTTCAAGTTCTAAACTATTAATCTGATTAAAAATATGCCTCTAAGAAATTATTTGAAATTTATTATGTGCAGAAATCAGCTTTTGATAGCTCTCTTATTTTCTGTGGTATTCATGACAAACTTGAAGAAATGTATATTTTAAAACGACTTCGTACGAAATTCACATTCTGATAAAAATTATAGCTAAGATGTAGCAGCAATTTTATCTTTGTCTGAGTACGGCTCAACAAAGATTCTATCAAAACTATGCGCAAAGAGACCAAGATTAGGAATTTTTAGATTTCGCCTCTACGGACCTAAATAGGTTTGGTCAATCACATGTAGGGTCTGATCTGTGCCAAATAGCTGCTATTGGGTACAAATTGGTTGATAATGGCTCAGCTAGCCCTTATTGTCAAGAATCTTAAATAATTGTTCTATGACATAAATAATGTTCCTGTAATGGTAAATTATAGCATCATTATTTATGCATCGATTGATTCGGAATATTTTGTATAAAGGCCATCTGCATAATACTATAGGACTATTCTGTGTAATGCTGGGGAAAATATTGATTGATTACGGCTCATCTAGCCCTTACCTAATTCTTAATCAAAATTCTTTCCTTAATCAAAATTCTTGAATGATGCTATTATTGTAACCCATGTTTACTGCTGGAATGTTAAAGGGAACTTTTCTTGTACTATCATTCCTATTTCCAATTGAAAATATTGGTTGATTACGGCTCATCTTGCCCCTACTCAATCAAAATTCTTAAATGATGATGCTATTATTGTAATCCAAAGTTCGCTTCTAAAATGTTGATGTGAACTTTTTCCTTACAATCTTCCAAAATGTCAAATTTCAAAACTACGCGATAATCTTTTTTTCTATCATTATTAGAGTGAAAAAGTTACTATCATTGAACAATGGCAATTTTAAAAGACATATTTGAATCATTGAAAATTGTTACTATTTAATGATGGTAAATAGTAATTTATTACTATTTACTACATTTTTACACACATAATTACACATTGTAAACATTTATGTAAACATTATTATTCATTAATAAAATTACAATTTATATTGCTTTATAAAATTGGTTTCCGAAAACTAATATAAAAATGGTTGTTTGCCAAAGTTAAATATGAAAATTAGCATAAAAATTTAGATTATTGTAATTAGACTTTTTATACCGACAACAGATGTGAAAAGGAGTGACTAAATTGTTCGAAATTCTCTGAAGCAATAAAGGCAAAGTAGTATTGTCCTCAGAGTTTATATCGTTAGATCGAAAGATTTCCAAGACGAATTTAATCTTTAATTATTATCTCGACAATGGTTGGGGACTTCAAGACGAGGTTTTATATGATTTAAGGTTGTTTCTCGAAGGCTCAATCGTTTTATGAATACTCTTTAGTGAAATGTATGCAATTCTACAACTATTGTGAGATTGTTATTTACAACAATTAGGTACAGTTTTGTACCTTTTTAGCAGATATGATAATTATGGGCAAAATGTCAATAAGGAGAAAAGCCACCATTTGGTGAAAATAATAAACATTTCTGGTCCAATTTTTTGATATTCGAAAAATGACCTTTACGAATACTTTTATTCTAGGCAAATAAAAATATTCAAAAATTGAGAATTATTCATCTATCTAGACAAAAATATCGCTCCAAAGAGATTTTTAAAAACTTTAATAATTGTGGACTTATATGTCATAGGGACTAAAAGATAAAGTTAGGGATAAATTTTGCCAACACGCAGGAAGAACGCCAAATTTTAGTTTACACTGCTTAGCCGATAATACCCATAAGTGTCACATATCGCGATCATTAACGATAACAAAAAATATCGAACGCGACAACACCGTTATCATTATTGATTGCTTCAATTTTCGAAGACGATAATATCGAGATCGTTATCGATGACATAACGTATCGAAAAAGAAATATAGCCAATATTATTCTTAGCGATAATTACGGAAAACGATATTATTGTGAGTGTTGATAAATTTCGTTTGGACAATATTGACCAAATATGAAAAGAAAATTACAATGAATTAAATTTGATTTTTCGATATTTCTGACAATGCATAGCGATATTAAAATTCGAACGTATCGGTAATACGGACCAATATTCTTGTTTCCGACAATCAGGAAAAACAGTCACCAACAAATGGTTCGTGTTTACCGATGAGTACTAACACTGCATATTCTGGGTTCATTAAAATATGCAAAATTTAAGAGATATCCATCAATCCAAACTGAAAAGTCTCGGAAAATCAGATTTTTTTTAAAAAAATAAATAATAAGAGCGCGATTTGTGCGTTCGATACCAGAATTTTTTCTTTTTTGACAAGATAGTAAGTATAGCAAAAAATTAAATCTTTATCGATTATCGAATTTTAGGCACTCAAACTGTTACTTTTTTTTATTTTCTTTGGCGGAACAGTTTCGAAGAACAACCTTAAATACAGAAAATCCTGGTCACACTATAATTTCCCACGTGTGTTGGACACACATGTAAATGCAAGGAGGAATCCTTTGTGTTGAGTAGAAAAAAAGTAATCCAAGTTAGAAGGCGGCAAGCATGATGTAATCCGTGCGAAAAGAAAACAAACACCATTTTATATAAACAAACATTACCTTGGCGTACATGGCGGTTGAAAAATCAGCAGGAAAGAACAGATGGAAAAGAAGAAGTTTTTTTTTCTGAGATCGTAGTCAAGAGATCTTTATATATAGTGTGCGCTCCCTTCGTCGAGCGATATCGACGCAGGAAAAATAAAGAAGGTTAATTTCTCTCTTCCTTTTTGCACGTCGACACCGCATCGCACGCACGACAAATGGTGCGAAACTTTCACAATTTCGGTCACGTGACCACCCGTTGTACACAATAACTTTTTAGATGGAGATTTATCCGAAGATAATAGTGGATACTTATTTACCAGAATCATTCATTTTTACGTAATCATTTATTATCATGCACCACAAATAATGAAGGTTTATTTCAACAATTACGCTCTAAAATAAAATAAATTTTTAAATGCTTTTTTTTTTTCACCTAAGAAAGAGGGAAAATATTTTCTGGTTTCGCCAGAACTAAAACGAAAAAACATGGGAGCTCAATAACTTTTAGATAGATCAAAGATATTATTGTAATATTTACCCGAAACATTCATTTTTACATGATTTCTAATGCAGTCGTTCCCAAATGGTGTTCTCTCGGAATCCTTGAGTTCCATGAAGAGATACCAGGGATTCAGAGAGTTAGGATAAAATTATCAGTTAAGAAATCATGCAAGAAAATTTTTATCCAATTAATTTTCCATTAGTTGTTTAATATTGATCTGATAACTATTCTCAACGCTTTTTTCCTTCCTTTTTACTTATTTTATTTTTATTTTATTACCGCCGTGGAAAAGCCTACCTAATTTTTAGGCTTATGACTACTAATGTTCAACTACGTAGCCTGACAATTTTGAACTCAACACAGAAGACAATGGAACTCATGGAACAAGTAATGAGAGAAATTCGCCTTCTTCGAGAACTTTTTGATGAAACTAACCCAAATTTACGTTACACGGAGAGGAAAACCGCGAAAAAACCTCCCACAATTAGTCTGATGGCATGGAACTCTAACCCATGATCCGTCTACCACTGAGAATGTTTTATGCCAGTACTGTGGTTGGTGCGCACCGGGTGCGGAATTCATATCGCTCAGCCATCGCTGGGATTCGATCCGGTTCACCTTATTGTAAGGCGAACGCTCTATCCCCTAAGTCACAACGGCTCTTCCTTTTTTATTTAATGAAAACAGCATTTGGGTTCATTTATTTTTACTTTATGCATACAATAAAATCAAATTATGAACTTGACAAGATAAAACTTTAGGCCTGTAAATTCAACTCTCTGACATAAAACCCAATTGCAGCTACTATTGTTTAAACTACACGATGAGAAAATTCCATTACTCATTCAACATTTTCAAAATAATTAATAAAATTTTAATTTATTAAATATTCTAAAAATTAATAATGGACTTTAGTGGATTAATATTTTTCACAATTGCGAATGAAATTTCGTCTAAGTCTCCTCTTTTTTAAAAAAAGGTCGACCCTTTAGGATTCCGTATTTAAAAAAAAAATTTGGAAACCGCTGTTCTAATGTACCAAGAATGGAAATTTAGGGATGAAAGAGTGTAAAGTTTATTTCAACAACTCTGTTATAAATAGTAAAGTTTAAATTAAAAATTTTAAAAGCTGCATTTTCAAAGTAGACTATAAAGGAGAAAATAATACCTTTTTTTTGTGAAATTAAGAACGATAACGTGAAAATATTATAACTTTCAAATGAAGAATTACCCAATGATAATAGTAGATACTATTTAACAGAAACTTGAGCAATCAAGAGCATATACAGGGTCTTTATAATTAAAGTTCCACTCGTGGCTATAAAAATAAAACTACCCGACCAAATGTCATCAAACTTGGTAAATATCTATAAGAGGTTATGGGATTTTAGTTCCCGCAAAAAAAAAAAAAAAGTTCAAAAATTCACCACCAGCGGTGAATGGCGCTGTATGCAATAAGGTTAAACGAAATAACAGAGGAAACATCAGTTGCAAACACTTTTATTGTTGATATAAAGCATGCTCAATATGGAATTTCTGCCATTTTCTGAAAGCAAATTAAATCGCAATATTGCATTCTCATCAGCACTTCTTAGCATATCTGGAGAAATGTTACGGACATGTCTGTGCATCGCATTCTTCAATTCCACTAAATTGGTTACGGTTACGTCATCACCATAAACAATGCCTTTGAGATAACCCCACAACCAGAAGTCACAGGGGTTGAGGTCTGGTGATCGGGGTGGCCAAGAAATAGGGCTACAATACGATCATTCGTGAAATGTTGCTGCAGTAACTGTTTGACACACCCACCAATGTGAGGTGGAGCCCCGTCCTGCATAAAGATCGTGGTGCTTAAAATGATCGTGGCTCTTCAAAGAAAAAAGGTCCAATTATGAAATTTGCTGTCATACCGCACCAAACGATAACCTTAGGCGAATGTAATGGAACTTCGTGGATAACATGAGGGATTTCTTTGGCCCAAATCCTGCACTTATGGGTGCTGACATCCCCATTTAAGTAAAAATGTGCCTCATCTGTTCACATAATGTTTCATGGCCAATTGATGTCCACCTCCATCCGTGCCAGAAAACTCAAAGCAAATGTTTCTCTTAAAGCCGGATCTCTAGGTTGAAGTTGTTGAACAAGTTTGATTTTGTAAGGGTAGTACTACAACACTTTCTGAACGATTTTGTACACCGTACTCAATGGTAAGTCGAGTCGACGTGCAACAGCACTTACGCTGCACGTCCCCTGTCTGGTGTCCATTGCTGCTTCCTCTACTGCTAATGCAACAGCCTCCTTGGTTTCCACAGACACAGATTTTCGTCTACGCCCAGGTGCAACAGATAACAAACCTGTGGCTTGAAATTTTGCCATCATTTTTCGTAAGCCTTGCGGTGTCATTGAACCTCGGCGTTTTCCTCTTACAGTATAGAACTTTTGTAAAGCCCTCCGTTCATTGCTGTCGCATTCATAGTAACATTTCACGAGCAAAGCACGGTCTTGCATGGTAACAGACATTGTCGACTCAGAACACTGACAACTCAGACAAGGCGGCTCACTTTTATAACTGCAAAGTCACATGACGTGTAAAACAAATTTGCCTATTTTACATTTGTTTAACACTATTGCATGCAGTGCCATTCTCCGCTGGTGGTGAATTTTTGAACTATTCTTTTTTATTTTTTAGCGGAAACTGAAATCCCATGACCTCTTGTAGACATTTACCAAGTTTGATGACATTTGATCGGGTAGTTTTATTTTTATAGCTATTTCAAAGTAGAACTTTAATTATAAAGACCCTGTATTAAGAAAGTCTTTATTAAAAAAGTCTATTAAGAAAGGAATCTGAACACATATTTACTAGGAGTAATCCACTTCACCTGGATAGGGGAAGAAAACATCGAATATGTAAGAAAGAAGAGAAAAAAGTGTCCCATCGAAATAAAGCCACTTCAGATTATAGCTAATATTACGTATGACTCGAAATATATGATGCCGCGTATCATTTACTAATACTGGAGGACATTAGTTAAAGGAAGGAGCAGAACAGGCTCTTCTTGAAAATCACCCTGTTATCCTACGACCTTCACAGTGAAGATTTTTAACGTAAATGGAGGCATTACCTGCTGGAAAAACCGACTTAGGCCTGCATACTGTCTGAAGGAGAGACTAGGTTTTGTTTACTACCCTATCTGTAGCTTTCCCACACAATTAATGAGCCTCCACCTTGCTGTGTGATGGAGAAGAAATTCTCATGCTGCTGTAATAGTTTCTGAATAGTACTGCTAGATTCTTTATATCGCAATGTTTTTTTTTTTTTGTAGGATATGTAAAACGAAACAACAGATGAGCAAAAACAAGAAAATCTTCCCCAAATGGACAGAAATGTGGAGGTTCTTAAATGCTGTGGGAAGGCTTCGGTTATGGTGGTGAACTTAATGTGGTCTTTTTCCCAGATCGCACGAAGGCTACCGATTACAAAAAGCTCATTTATTGGTATTTGAAGCAATTTGAGTAGATTTGGTGAAGTTCCGAAATATTTGTTACATATCGAAATATTTGTCCAATTTAATATTAATTTATTCCTTGATATTATTAGATTTCTTCGATATTTTAATATCTGCTGAGGATAGATTAGGATAAACATCAGTGTTCGGAGTACCGGTTAAATGCATACTGGGCAATGGCACTTGACCTCAAAAAAACATCAGTGTAGGGTATGTCGGGTAGTGGCACTTAGCTAGAGCGAGACATTTACCAAAGCGACTATGTGTTTGTCAACAACCACCCATTCACAGTAACAACATACATACAAAAAAAAACAGTCTGGGGAAGAATTGTAGACTGTTATCATTGAAGATTTAAAATAATATTGATGTTGTTATCTACCTAGGATTGGTAACATCACAGAATTTAAGTCAGGCAAAAAATATAGTGGATACTTTAGCTATCATTAAAAGTGGCTTTATTTACATTTATTGAATGCATTTTTATTTACTTAATGTTTTCTTCCTGTCCAGGTGGGGAAGAATGTTATAAAAATATGCTTAGTTTCAAAATATATATGTTTGGTTCTCATTGTGTTCTCTTTGCTTCCAGTTATGGCAAAAAATCAAGTTGGCTTTATCTATTATGGGCACATTGTTGTACACTATCTACCAATATAAGTATTTGGATACCTACGCAAATGACTATATCTGCGGTTCTGAGATACGTCAAGCCCTCCGCCGGTATGGATCGTGTAGGGAACAACATCTGCATAAGTCCCATGCAAGATGCCAACTGCACTATTTTGGATGACAATGTGTTTTGTACGTTGTGGCAGTTTTACGGGGTGGATCCCTGTTACTTCCAGGACGTCAATGCCAGCAGTCATGTTGTGAGGGTCACAAAGGCTTGGTATGGTGCCAATGGGGTTAATCAAATGAACTGGTCAGCCCAGAGCCCAGACCTGAACCCTATCGAGAACCTCTGGGACGAGTTGGATAGCCGAATTAAGGGGTGTACTACCCGTCCAAAATCTGTGAAGGAACTTACATGTCTTGTCCAAGCCCAGTGGAAGAAAATGCCACTAGCCGTCACACAAGGACTCGTGGAAAGTGTGCCCCGGAGGGTTCACGTTGTAATTGCCTCTCGTGGAGGCTCTACAAACTATTG